CACCTGGGGAAGCTGCTTCTTTTTTTTTTTTTAAGATTTTTATTGGGGAATTGGGGGAAGGGAACAGACAAGTTGCTGTCCTTTTGTTCTTCTGTCTAGTTGTGGAGGATGTTGCTTCAACTGGCCCAAGTTGGCACCATCATTGCGCTCTTCCGGGTGAGGCAGATCAGTCGCCGGCTTCTGGATGGCCACTCACTGCGGCTGCTGGCCGCTCACGCTGGCCGCTGGCTACACACGGTAGCCCATGGCAACCCACTGCCACAGGGGCTGCAGCCTATGCCGTCGCAGGCGACTCATGGCAGCCCAGCTCCAGGTTGAGCTGTTGTTCAGCATCTTAGCTGTGGAGGGCAGTGTCACTGGCCCTCATATGTGGGATCCGACCCGGGGCCCTCTGGCATCCGAAGCCAGCTCTTAACCAACGCGCCACTCGGCTGGCTCCTGGGGAAGCTTCTTAAAATGCAGATTCTGATTAAGTAGGTCTGGGGTGGGGTTCAGGAGTCTTCATTCCTAACAAGACGCCAGGTGGATAAGGTTCTTGGTGCTCTGTGGATTGCACTTGGAGTTGCACGGATATGGTGGGCAGCCATTGAAGGCTGATCTCCAACCTGGACTGTCAGTTTTGGAGGATGGTTAGATGGTGCCATCTGCTTCAAGGAGTGTAGTGTCTTCATGTACCTACTTTCTGTGCACCTTTTTCTTATATGGCATGTAAATTTGAGTAACTAGAGTTATGTTGTTCTTTTTTTCCCTTTTAGTAACCAAGATTATAACCATAAGCATTCAATTTTGCTACTTTTGATAAGAAATTCTTCAGTGATTTCAAAGAAAGGCAAATGTTTTGCAAATGAAAAATGTCACTTTTAAAGGCCTCATTAGTCTTCCATTTGCCAAAGAAAGTGATTTTTAGTCAATAGCAAAGTGAATCTGTGTGTGTGATTTCCCCCCCCTCCCCTCCTGTCAACAGACCCAAATATTTTTTTTATGTCACTAGTTGTAAAGCATTTGTTTGGGGGTTGGGGAAATATAAGTAAGAGATTGGAGAGTGGGAATGAGGAAAAGGGGGTACATTGTCTGGGAGTGGAATTGTGGTATGCCCAATGTTTGATGGACTATTAACCTAGAGGGCTTATGGAAACCCTAAATGGCAATAGCTGTTTTGAAATCTTTAATGAAATTCATAAGAACTGACACATTGACTCCTATATCAATGGCTACAACTCCTCCTGTATCGTTCTTTCTTAAGCTGACCAGTAAACCAGCATAGACGAGGTGCTAGGCTTTGTGGGAGCAATCTGGAGGAGGCCAAGAAAGGAAGAAGGGACCTCTCTCTGTTCAGTGCTGCACTGTCCAATCGTGGGTGATTCCAAACCCTGGGAAAGGGAGAGCCAGGAAGCATGACGTCATCCAGGGAGATCAAAGGGGATAGTTAGGATTTTTGAATAGTGAAGTGCGCGTGGACATTGGTTGATTTGAAATGAGTGATTTGAGAATGGGTAATTGAATATAGGAGGCGGTGGGGAGAATAATGAGAGAATGCTGGCAGATACAGAGTAAAAGGAGCCTGTACGGATGTGGTGAGGTAGGGAGAGGAACAGTGTGAGGTATTTTGTGAAGGAATTGGTCCATGTTTAGCGGAAGGTAAGAGGCTGTGACTGGGTCGTTAGACTTGGGCACTGTTGTTTTGCAGGGAATTCGATGGTCGAGGAAGCGGGGGTACAGCCACTGTGTAGGGGGGATGTCGCCAGTACGCCGACAAGCTTACGGCTGTGAGTGAGGGGCAGCCCGGCCCCTGGGGGTTTGTTGCTGTGTGGAGTGTTCTATGAGAGGAGCAGTGATTTGTCAAGAAAATTGTTGTGATTTCAGGCACGTCACTTAAAACGTCCCAGATGCCTGTGAGGTTAGGCACTGGCGGGCCATGCATGGGTAAAACGTAGGTGGGCAGAGTGACCTCGAGCTTGAGTTCTTTGTCATTTTCAGGAATATTTACTGAGCTCTTATGCTATCAGCATGTTTTGGGTGCTGGGGCTAGCAGTGGTGAACAGGACACACGATTTCCTGACCCCAAGCAGACATTATTTGAATGGCTGATTGAATAAGACAGCTATTGAAGAAGGGAAAATAAAAGGGAAGCCTTGTATTTAGAGGCCATGTCAACTCTTGGAGAGAGAGGCATGTGTGTTTCGAGTTGCCTGACCTCTAAGGATGGTTCTTTGTGGGCTGTTTCCTAGAGCAGCCAGTGCTTGGCTGTTCTGAGCAGAGCGTTATACTTGAAGATCCCCTCTCCCTGCCCTCCCGTGACACCCAGTGTGGACTGCACTGTGTTGCCCCACTGCTGGGGGCAGGCACACCTCTGATTCTGCATCAGACATTCTGCTCGGGAGAGGTCCCCCACCCCCAGCTGCAAGCTTAAGTGTAGCGTGAGTCATCGTGACTCCGCAGCTGTGCAGGACAGTTTAATTTTTAATTTCTGAATTACTAGCTACCTAACAAGCTTTTAGAAACGGAACAGAGTCAGCCTGCTATGTCCTAGGCTTGTGTCTTGCATCAACATTGAGGTAGGTGACAAGTCTTGACCAGCACTCCAGATTATACAGGGAACACTTGTGCTTAAAAAAAAAGTTTGATTTTTAATGTCTAGAATTTGAAAGCTCATAATCTGTGTCATGGATTTGCTTCTCCTGTATTTAAAGTACTTCATAGGTATAACGAAGCCACCATTGTGTCAGGAAGTAAACCTTAAATGCATCCTCCTTTGCAGGAATTTTCATCTCATACGGTTTATGTTTTAATTAGACATTAGCTGTAGGGGTGTCATTCTCTTGTGTGGAGGCCTGAGGTCAGAATGAAGGTACCAACATAATGCAGAAAATCATGACAGGAATTTTACATTGAAAGCTATTTTGGGGCTTTATAATTTATATACTGTGTATATGTAGGAAATAATAGTTTATAGCCACATCACTGTTGTGGAGATGGAAATGATGGGAATACAAACCAGGTAGTGATGAAGAGAATTCTGCTGGACAGCCTTTATTGCATAGACCTTGGAAACTGAAAAAGTGGATTTCAGCCCAATAAGCATTAACTCCTCCCGCAGTTAAGACTATCATCCCATTTCAATGAAGAGGCTAGGGGAGCTTTCATGCAAACTCAAGGCAGTTGCTGTAAGAGTGAATTCCACTATCATGTGCTTTGTGTGTGTTTGTGCTTTGTGTGTTAAACCATCTGCCTTTTACTCAGTTGGTTATTTGGGTCTGTCTGGTGAGAGTGTTTCATTTTCCTGGTTTTTAACCAAGTGATTGGAAGGTCTCTAATGACTTATGCCAAGGAGCTGTTAAGAAATTGCGTGTGTTCATTCTGTCAGATCGAGGAGAAGCTGGCTGTTCTTTTAGCCTTTATGCTTGAACTTTGCTCACCACCCAGGTCTGTAGATGTCTTGGCTCTCAGGAGAGTGACCAGGAAGGCAGGATATGCCGTTTTCCTGTAGAGGTAACGGAAGTCTCAGCTTGGCAGGTACACAGGAGTGAAGGGCATGGAGGGGAGGGTGGAAATCCTAGCTCCCTCTTTTCCCAGGGCTTCTTTTCCCTTTTTTATAGGAGATGGAGAATTACTCTCAATCTAGGAAATCCTGGAAGCTTAGCAAGAGTGCAGCTTCAGTTATTTAGGGCTTAGAGTTTCTGTGTGGTTGGATTTCTAAGATGTAGTTTGTGTTTATACAGAGTTAAGGAATTTAAGCGCTGGAAAAGACCTCAGATAACCTAGTCTTCCTGTCGAGTCCCATGGAGATTTTATGTCACCGTTAGTGGCAGGGAGTAAAACCGATCTGTTGGCCATCCACAACAGCTAGCAGCAGTCTGCCTCTGAGGTGTTCAGGTTCCTGTCTGAACAAAAGGAACACGAATATCCAAAATCCTGTTTTTACCAAGAGTATTAATGTTTTCCTCATTCTCTTGAGGCCCAAAGTGTCTGAGAAGCTCAAATCTTTCCATCTCTAAGTTGAACTCTGTTATGAAATGCTTGTCTTAAAGAAGATGCACGGATGCGAGGACGTCTTAGATTAGCAAACAGTGCACTGACTCCCACAGAAATGCCTGCGAACGTCCTTAGCCGGATGGATCTACCCTGTAAACCTTCAAAACCTTGTGTTCCCTAAAACAGTTAATCCAGTTCAGTCACTGGTCCAGATGTAGCTGTTGTTCTGTCTCAGCTCTCTGCTGGCATGTGTCTCCCACCCGGGCCCCTCTCAATGCTTCTTCTGTTCTAATCTCTTTCTGTCTTTACCACCGGGATCATCTCTGGGCTGGCTGCTAGTCTTTGGTTCCGCTACCCCTACCTTCCCAAAATGGCCTTCATTCTGTTCATTCCTCTTTCAAGAACTTGCATTGGATTTGATAGAACGGACATAAGGGAGCCACACTTTTAAATTAGACTTTCAAGACCTGTTATCAACCTGTGTGTATCTCTTTATATTTTTTTAACACCCGTCTCCCACCCCCCCCAGATCCATTGCCCTTTTCCACAGTGGTCTCTTTCTGTCTTCTCTTTCATTTATGACTCGTTTCCTTAAGAGGCTATTGCAGATCCAATTTCATTTCTGGCTGAATCGTACGTTACCTCGAAGGTGGCACCGACAACTTTCCCCAAAAGTACAGCACACGTTTGTAAAGCACATCCATTCTGACATTACTCACTTTATAAAACTCCAGCAAAATGTCCATTACTCCTCTGGTTGTGAGTGTGATAACTTCGTTTTGTGAACTTTTACAGGAGCAGAAAACTTTGGTGAAGGTTTTTGGGAGTGGGTATATAAAGGAAGTGAGGTGGTTTTGCCTGAAGTCTGTCCAGATGTTGGAAGGGCTAATGCTGGCCCTTTACCATATGATGTGATATCACTCTCCAGAACTTTTGGTCACACAGTACTTGTTTGGAATTCTTTATTCTGACTCTTAATATCCCTTTGCTTTCTTTTAAGTAACCCCCGCTTTCTTCTGTTTCTCCAGGATGACAGTGATGGGATTCCATGGTCAGAAGAAAGGGTGGTACGTAAAGTCCTTTATTTGTCTCTGAAGGAGTTCAAGAATGCCCAGAAGAGGCAGCATGGTGAAGGCATTCCTGGGAGCTTGAAAACAGTAAATGGTGAGTTGAATATTTTGTTGGCGTTTCTGGGCATGGCCTCGTTTCTCAATTGGATGTGTTTTTTGCAATCTGTGCTTCTTAAGCTAGGTCTCTCCTGGTAGTTACTCTGGACATCCTATTGGGTTTATAGATTCATTTTTATGTTTCTTTATATGCTGCACAATATAATTGGCAAGGTGCCTTAGTCTGTTTCCTGTAGACGGGACCAGGGCTGAGTCTGATTTCTTACTAAGTCCTGGGTTGAAAGTGGAGCCTGTGTAACAGGTTTTCCAGTGGGTGTCCGTCTTTATACTCCATATGACAGCAGAAGTCTTTGATGATCCTGCTGCAGTGTGGAGCCTTTGGTTCTTATCCCCTGTTTGTATAGGAAGTAGCCCAAATCTACTGCGTGCCTTGCTGTCCGGCTCAGCATCCTCCGAAGCACTTGCTTCCTTCCTTGTTGATTAGGTTGGGCAGGTTGCTACCTGGCAGCAGGTATACAGTGGCACAGAATTCCTGTGCATCTAGAGGTTTACCTCTACCTCTTCCTGTATGGTCACCAAAAGCATCCCTGGAAACTTGTTCCTGTCTGAGTTTATTCTGATGTCTCTTTTGAATGGGGTTGATATGATTTAGATGAAGTCATCCAGTGAAAACCATTTCAGAACAAACATTGGGTTATTGTCTGTGTCTGTATTTAATTTCAAGGGATGTGGCTGTGGTGGCATTCCACAGTCTCCCTCGTACTTCTTAAATCTCTTAGGATTACAGGTGAATGAATCGACCGTGTTCTGGTTTGTACTTGTTTGGGCAGGGAGACAAGGAAGAGGAAATTCTGTTCTTCCTTTAGAATCTTTGCTCTGGTCGTGGGGTAGCAGTCCTCAGACGTGGAGTGCTTGACAGCTTGCCCCAGGGTGCAGAGCGACAGGTTAACTGAGGGCTCCCAGTTTCTTTCCAGCTGCTTAGTTGTAAGGTGAGTTGTCTGGGAGCGTCTGGTTGGAGCTAGTGCTTACAGACAGGACCTGTTGCTGCTCTGTTTCCACAGGTCGATGGCTGGGTTTTCTGAGATGACCTCCCTGCCATCCACCGAAGTTTTGTCAATCTCTTCTAGTATCGTGGGGTTTGAAACAACAGCTCCTTGAATTCCGAGCCAACATGTAATGGGAAAGGCCCTTTTAAAATTTCTTTCACATTTGCAGAGGCCAAATAAGTAGAGGAACCTGTTGCAACAGTGTACAGTTTGGACCCATATGCCCATAGGGCTCTGACAGGTAGGCACACGATCCACCCCTTGGCTGCCTGTAATACAGTAAACCCTGTGCTCTGTGTCTATTTAGAGAACATTTGATGTGACAGTTCTTTTTACTGCTTCACACTAAATACATACGGTCCCCAGACTTAAGATGGTCTGAGCTAGGATTTTTCGACTTAACGATGGTACAAAAGCGATATGCATAATACATTACATGAGACACTTAACACTTTATTATCAGATAAACTCTGTTAAAGATTTTGCCAGACTGTAGACTAAAAGTGTTGTGAACGCATTGAAGGTAGGCCAGGCTAAGTAAGATGGTAGGTTAGGTGTATTAAATGCATTTTCGACTTAAACCCATCGTAAACTGAAAAGATCCTATCTGGACATAACCCCATAGTAAGTCGAGGAGCAGTGTTTCGCTTGATTAAGTTTTTTTGGGGAATGTAATGAGGAGAACATCATTGTGTCCTGGAATTAGAGTAGAGCAGTAGCTGCTACGAGTTTAGATCTTATTGCGATAAGGAATGCTCTCATTCTGCTATTCGTGAGTGGTCCTGCCTTACTGCTTTAAGAATGTCTTAACAATTAAAAAAACCCTAAGTGGGAAAAATCTGCTTGTAGGACAAAAAGGTAGCCAGGTGCCCAGGATTGAATAAAAGGTGGGATCTGGGTAAAAGAACAAAACTTAAAGTTAAGTCATTCAAGAAGCAACCAGCACTGCCAGCTAGTTTGACTAATTGTAGCCCCCTTCTTTTCACTGGCAGAGTTGAGGGCTTGACATGTGGAAGAAAGAATTCTAAGAGAAGTTGTGGAATCATTGACGGCTTTAAATAATTCTTTTACCAGCCTCATAAAGAAAAGGTAGTTTTTGTCATGTTAGTTTACCTTTCGCCCTGATAAAGACTGACTTGTCTTTTTTTTTTTTTTTTTAAATGACAGGCCCCAAAGCTTTTCCCTTAGTTGTAAAATTGCTGTGAATATACCTTTTTTTGGGTTTCTGTTGGTGTTGGTGCAAGCAGCACTCCAAGGTCACTGTTTTGTTAGTCTGTATATTGGATTGCAATAGCAGTTTTAAGTAAACTCGTCTCCTTATTTCAGAGCTTAGGTGTGTTTTATGAAGAAGTTTCTTAAGGGCCGCTAACATGTTCAAGTGTCCTTCCTGTTTGGGGGCTACTGGAAAGTACAGGAAACCAGAATCGTTACCATAGGAATAGCTCCATCTCTGTAGGACTCAGAGTCTCGGGAGTGCTCTTTGAGGGGACGTGTGACCCAGAGAGCTGAAATAGCAGGGAGCATCCGAGAATTTTTTGGCTGAACGAGGTTGGGAGTAGGGATGATTGCAAGCAGTGTTCTCTGAATGTGTGTATATGTATGCTTCTGCGAGTATCACTTGAGTTAGAATGGGTGCTTTATAACAGATCATCATTCAGGTCCTGTACAATAGAACGACTAACCTTGTCTTAAACTGTCCATCACAGCATACAGTAGCGGGTTCTTCATTGTATGGTAAGTGAAGATAAGTTAGTCAAGGAAGAGCAGTTTTAACAGCTGGGCAGGTTGTTTTTATTTTTTGTTATTCTTAGTCCTCCACCCCCTTGAGGTTCCTTTTCAAAAGATGAAATAATTCCATTGGTCCAATTTTAATAGTGACAGGAATTTGTCTGGTGATAGAGTTTTGAAACTGCCCAGTACAGAGCCCTCACTGGGAGGTGGGGTATAAAACGGGATGGGACATGGGTGAGAGAGCATGTGCCTGTTCCCCACATAGGGTGGGGGGGACTTCTGCCCCTGGGGCCCCCCTTTTCATGTTTTGTTACTTGGGGACCTTGGGTAGTGACATACCTTTGAAACCCCTAGTGTTTTCATCTGTAAGCTGAATAATCGTCCTTGTGTGCTTTGTGAGTGCTACATGTGGCAGTGACTTTCCTAATCTCATGCAGCTATTCATTTATGCAGTAGTAGAACTGGAAGTACAGTTCAACTTGTGTAACTTTGAATCTATTACTTGTTTTAGAACACATATGGGATGCAAATTACACCATATCTTTGCAATAGTAGTATTGAAAACAATGTGTTTTATTTTTTGTCCAATCAATTTTTAAACAAAGATGTTTCTGGGTTATAGGTCCTGCCAGAGTATTTTAAAATTCAATTTTATTAATATAATACTATTTTGCATTAACAGTAGAATGGGCTTGACATAATTTTGTATATGATTTGAATTGACGTCACTCCCGCTAAACCATTGGCATGCTAGGATGCCGAACAAGGAGCGAGCCCCTGGCCCTTCCCTCTTGTGTAAGGCGGCGTTCAGGGGTCTGCTGCCTGTTAATAGTGTACAAACAGTGGCAGCTTGTACCTAGCGGCTGAGCTCAGCTGCCCCATTTCTGCAGGTCTGGTGTAGTAGTAATAACACACGCAGACATCAGATAGCAGAGAGAACTCCTATTTTATGTCATAAAATCCATGTTTGCCAGCAGTCTTGCTTTTGTGGTTCTAAACTGACAAGGAGTGACTTTTTTTGCCCTTCTAGAGGTAGTGAATGTGAGTCTTGAACGTCCTTATGGATTGTCTGTGTAGGAACTGAAGCCAGCGTCACCGCATGTTGATTCTAGCTGGGCTGAGGAGGCAGGGCTAAGAGTTTTGCTGATTGGGAGCCTTCTGTATACCTCCTACTATAGATAATGCCACTTTTTCTGGCTGTAATCCATTGGCAAAAGCTTAGGAAAGGGCTGGCCAAGGCTGAGGCCGCAGCCACTCTTTAAGGGTCCTTGGCCTACTGGGGCTGAAATTAAGGACATTTAAATAATATCATGCCACACAAATAATGAGCATACTCATAATTACACAGTAAGAGAGGGAAACTGTTAGCTGTATTTGAATTTCATTTGCTTCCTATAAATGTCATCTGAGATCCAGCAAAGCCCTCTGTCCAGCTAAAGAGCCTTGACTAGATGTAAGGGAAGCTGAACCCTTTCTTAGGATTTTCCTGTGGGCCCTGGTTGTGACAACCAACCTGTATTGAGCGCTTACTATTTGGCAGTTATTGTTTGAGGACTTGACTCATATGTGACTCATTTACTCTTCAGAGCAAACCATTTTGCAGGCGAGGAAATAACACGGGAAGAGTGGGTTAGCAAGTTGCCTACACAGCTGTAACTGGGCAGAGCCAGGATTTAAATAAACCTTGGCTTTTTGCACTAGAGTTCCCCTGCTTTTAACTACCACCTAGATAAACAGAAGTACTTAGGAATCCTCCATAAAGATGGGATCCCAAAATATAAGAATTTGTAGGAGGGCTTTTTTTTTTCTTCCTAACAGCAATTTCTTTTAAAGGAGATAAGTGAAATCTTTCATTGTGAGCATGTTTCCGGGCTTTATTCGACCTTGTAATTGAATAGAGAGAGGGAATCAAAAAATTGCACAGCTTCTGATGTCACTCTTCTTCCTTCAGTCACACGCTCACAGATGCCTTCATCTCTTTCTGTTTCTTCACTTGGAGACGAGATCTGTACTTTTAATACTGTTGTCGAACCAGCCATTTCATTGCAGTGGTGAGAGAGGGGCAACGGTTGTTAATTGGAAGCCAAGGACCAGAGTTGGAAGTGTAGATATAGGATACCCCCCTCACCCCCCACCTCCATTTTTTCCCTAAGGCATAGAATTTTGAACTCCTTTAAAAATCTTTCTCAAAGATTCCTGATATTTATGGAATGAAACATGGGTCCAAAGTCCTGCAAATTCATTGTTCACAGCATAAAAT